ATGGGGGCCACAACACCCAGGGGTACTTGCAGGATGATTCCCAGTTCACAAGCCCTACTCAACCATCGACATCACGGACAGATAGAACCGCTAACGCACCTTTCAATAACCAGGAGATTTACTCTCCAACCCACGTTCACGACCATGAGCGCGAGCTGCCGCCCCTACCAGACCAGCCAAACCAGCGCGGCAGCTACCAACAGCCCGCCCGAACATGGGTGAATGGATCTCCAACTGATGGTAATGGTGCTGCTAGGCGAGGGGGAGGGCCAGATGACGAGGTGGTCCACGTTGAAGCAAAGCCGGTAGGACGTCCCGAAGTACAAGAGAACACGACACACAGAGCACTCGATGCCAATCAGGTAGCGTTTTATTTTATTTGTGATTTGGGCGACGCGTGCTGGCACGTATACGGTTTCGTCTAGGAGCGTAGAACTGCACACGACGTCCGATACCGCCAGGCCGGCACCCCTCGGCACGCTAGTACGATGTCGAAATTATCGCTGACACAACTTTTTCTTATCGTATAGGTTACAATGATCACATTAGGAGGTATGTTTCACGGTTGCAGAAAGTTATTTGTGTCATTGAGACGTTTCTATCAAAGCTACTTTTGGCACCGGTCTCTTAGTGGTCAGTCCCGGACCTCTCCTCTTTGATTAGAGTACAATTGATTCACAATCTATTGGTTCACCAGGGTTCTGGAACAGCGCTTTACGAAGGTGCGCGTCGAAGCTTCTCTTGGCGCTTGTAGATCTCCTGACCCGTTCATGATAGGTGGCCCGCTTGGAATCCTCATAGCCTTTGGCTTTGTCGGTGCGTATCAAGCCCCACAAACTGAAATGGAAAAAGAACTAACCGCCGTTCCTACTTCTTTCTTATCTCTGTTCTGATAGGGTTCATTTGGTATGCATTCCGCCACCCACTCACGTGTCTGGTACTGACCTTCAAATAATGTAGCTACTGCATGATGACGAGTCTATGCGAGGTATGTACTTTCTTATTTGTGAAGAATATCCGAGCTGACCTTTGCATTCAAGATGGCCACATTTCTGCCGCACAAGAAAGGCTTTGTCGGTTTTGCGTCGAGATATATTCATCCAGCGTAAGTATCTACGCTCTCTCTATCTTCCTCTGTACATGGATATTTATATTTTCTTTCTCAGGGTCGGTTTTGGTCTGGGGTGGACCTACGTCTTCCAATTCCTATTCGTCCCGGCATCGCATATAAACACAGCTGCAATTGGTGTGCTTATTCGTCATCAAAGTTTCTAATATGTTTCCTAATTTCTTAATGTTCTCTAGTGATGGAATACAGTGGATACACTGTTAGTCTCGACTATCAGCCCATTGGATCGAGTAACCCTGTGCCTGTGGCAGTTTGGAGATTGATATTTAGTAGGTTCCCTCGACTTCAGGAACCGGATTTTCTTTGCTGACACGTCGGCAACAATAGTTATATTGGGTAAGCCTAATTATAGCTCAAGGCAGCAGCAAAAACTCAACCTTCCGTTCCTGTCGTGTCATAAGCTGTCGGAATCAACTTTCTGTACGTTATTTTTTTTCATTTACATTGTCCAGAAATTGACATCAATGTCACCTAGTGGAATTCGTGGGTTTGGTCGATTCGAGTTTTGGCTCTCGAGCTTCAAAATCCTCGTTTTGATCGCCCTCATTTTCTTTGGA